TCCTTTGTTGCCTTGGCGGTATGTTTCGGGTCATTGTCATGCTGAAAGACCCATCCATGACCCATCTTCAGTGTTCTGGCTGAGGGAAGGAGGTCCTCGTCCAAGATTTTACAGTACATGGCCCCGTCCATTTGCCCCTCAATGCGGTGAAGTCGTCCCATACTCTTAGCAGAAAAACATCCCCAAAGCATAATGTTTCCACCTCCGTGCTTGACTGTAGGGATGGTGTTCTTGGGCTCAAAGTCAGCATTTCTCTCCCTCCAAACACGGCGAGTCGAGTTAATGCCAAAGAGCTCAATTTTTGTCTCATCTGACCACAGCACTCCAACAGTTGTCTCCTGACCAAGCTGCTTGCTGATGGTCTTGTAGCCCATTCCAGCCTTGTGCAATCTACAATCTTGTCTCTGACATCCTTTGGTCTTGCCCATGGTGGTGGGAGAGGTTGGAATGGAAGATACAGATTGTGTGGACAGGTAACTTATACACCTAACGAGCTGACATTAGGAGTAACTTCTTAAAGTGGCAGGACTAATCTGTGTTGCACATGTCTGTGGGAGCCAGAATTCTTGCTGGTTGGTAGGGGATCAAATACTTATTTCACATGCAAATCAATCTCTACCCTTTATATAATGTGTTTTTTTCTGGATTTTTTGGTCGGTATTCTGTCTCTATCCATTAAAATAAACCTACCATATAAATACCCTTCATTTCTTTGTAAGTGGGCAAACTTACAAAATCAGCAGGGGATCAAATAAATATTTTCCCCACTGTACATTACTGGGCTTTTCACAAAAGTAACCCTGTTTTTTGTTTTGTTTGTTACAACATTAAATTCAAATTTCATTGACTACCATTCCAAATTCACTTGAGCGAGGCCTAATTCGTTTTTTTTATTTTGTACAATTTGGATCTCTTTTTTTTTTTTTTTTTTTTTTGAAAGTAACCCTGTTTTTTGTTTTGTTTGTTACAACATTAAATTCAAATTTCATTGACTACCATTCCAAATTCACTTGAGCGAGGCCTAATTCGTTTTTTTTATTTTGTACAATTTTTTGTTCTTTTTTTTTTTTTTTTTTTTGGAAAGGGGTTTTGTTTACGTTTTCTGTATCAATTAATTCCTTAGTTGGTTAGTTGTCATCACCTTACCGTGTTTAGATCGTTTAACGTCTTGTTAAAAATCACTTAATGTGGATGAAAACGTAAATATTTCCGTTGCATTTTTGTGATCCAAACCAAAAACGATCCCTGTGCCAAACAACCCGGTCTCCCTTGTACTGATAGTGTATCATTGTCAAATTTACGTTTTGTCATCATTAACAAACTTGTGAAGTGTACAGATTTTTTAACTCACGGCGGCCCCCTCGTTCCCGTTACTACTACTATGATGCTGCTCTTGCAACGGGCGTTCACTCTGCTCCAGTTTTCTCTTTAATAAAACTTCCGCGAGCAAGTACCGAGTGAAACAATTAAGCTAACATTGAAACTGCTAAAGCAAGCAGCGCCCTCGAATGGCCAAAGCAAACAGCACGCCATAAAGCGGTAATCTGTGGGTTTTAAACGCTCTTCTTGCCATTATTTTACTTTGCAAGGTGTTGTAAAGGCTCATTGAGAACATAAACGCCTTGAGGCCTGGGTACTCTGAACGCAGACATTTTTAATGTTCTTTGATGAGTAGCATGAAGTGGAGCATTATAACATTTAACCAGAGCTAATTGTCACGAAGACCGAGAGACGCCAACGGACGTAACGTGATTTGCAGATGTTTAACAGATATAAATGCAATTTTTTGTTTTAATATATGTTGGGTTATGTCAACTGTTAAACTACGACTGTAAACGTTTGTTCAGTATCGTCTTCGTGTTTAATAACAAATCTATAATACAGACAAAATATAACTTGCAACCCAATGGAACAATGAACAGAAGTTAGGCCTACCTAAGAAATATCAGCTCAAGAGCAATAGTGTTTCACCGTTTCATTTAATCTTCTTTGCTATGATCACACAAGGAACAGTAACAATATAAATTATTAAGATTGTTATGTGGTATTCAAGGTATGACGTAAAATATGCCTATGCATATATGCAGCCTTTGTTCCAGCAGGTTTTTTTTTTTAAACAACAGTTCCAACTATTCTAGTGAACACAACTTGACCACGTATATTTCCACCTTTCTGCAAAACTTGTTAAATGTAAATTGTTGTAGGCTATAGCATGACATGACAATAGCAGGTGTTTATTGCTGCTATGTTGTTTGTGATATCCTTTGCTTTTCCTTGTTTATTTATTTTTTTTCATTATTGGAATACTGTATCCACTGTATCATGACCTATATGACTCTTGCTCTTTGCTTGACACATTTATGTCACGAGATCCATAAATGAAATTTTCATATATAAACCTTTCTTAATATTTGCTCATTCTATTTGCATCAGTCTTGAATACAGGGTCATGTACTGTATATACCAAACCCTTTAAGCCACATATGGAATTTTGTATTGCTTTATTTTAGAACATCAGTTTGTTAATTTCTCATGTTCAAGTTCAGTAAATTCAGTAACACCTGACATGCAAAAATAAATGCCTATATGCACATCTTGATCTAATTTAGATCCGAAACAGAAATAAGCCCACAGTCATAAGTATTGCTAAGGCATTTCAGATTAATCTTATGCAGAAAATGAAATGCAATTGGTATACATTTTGTGCAAGTGTACAGATACCCTTTTTTGGATTAAAGTGTGTGACCATTCAGCATGTTGTGACATCATGAGCCACTGAATTAGTCTGCTCTCTCGTAAACAAGCAAAACTAATACTGCCGCCTTCTCAGTTCCTCCTTCATAAATATAAAGAGAATAAGAAACAATCAGTACTATATAATCAGATAAAGAGATTCACAAAATAAACCGAGAAACAATGAAAAAGCAATGAGTGGCACAAGTAAAAAGATCATTTCTTTACATCATTTACAAGTTTTTAAAAATCCCACACACATGTATAAAGTGTAATATAGCTCAGCAATTATTTAATTTGTGAAAAAAGGGTTTACTTGAGTTAACTAATGAGTGAAAGCACAAATACTAGAAGGAAATAGGAGGCATTTATGTGAGAGAATATGAAATTTACAGAATCACATATACTGAATGTAGGCCTAGATCAGCACAGAATAAAGCAGATGCTTTATATTGTCATCACATACAATCTATTGACTGAATAAGAGAAATGTGTAACTGTGGGGGACACTTTTAGAATACTCTTTTTAAAAAAATTACCATTTTAAAAGTGTCTGACATTCAAAATATGAAACCTTCCTGCGATAGGAACACAAATGCCATAGTTTTTTGTGTTTTAGACCTGAATTATCTGATGTAAGTTGTATTTAAATCACATTATAGACAATTGTGAGAATCGTGCATTTGAAATTAATAATATTATTTTAGTTTGGAAGAACAAGTGCAAGTCCCTTTAAGGCTATTAAGAACATAATTCAGCTGATGAAAATACAGGTCTTAAACTATTATGCTAAAGCCCATAAATAACCTGAAATACTACTTGTTTGGTACATTCACAATGACATTTTACATTCAGCCTCTTGAATTTTCACTTCCTTTTGAAGCACACATACTGCATGTAATGTCAGAATAAACATCTCACCGTTACATTGCAAACACAGACTAGAGCATTGCCCTGCTCTAAAATGGATTTCTTTTACAACAGGCAGTGTTATCAAGTTCCAGTTTGAGTTTCAATTACCTCTCCTCTATTCTTCTAATTTGTCTCTCCTTACAATTTTCCCTCACTTGCCATTTATAATAGGAAGACAGTCAAAAACTCGCTCACCAAAATCATTACAAGTATACCCACAAAAGTCTCTTTCCTCATACTCAGCAACTTTGAATGGGACAGTCTTCGATGGCCATCAAATAGGTAAATATTTCTCTTTTTTATCATTCAGCCTTTCTCATCACATCCCCAGTGCAAACTCAGCAAATATACACCATCCATATAATACAAATACACTCTGTGAGCATCCAGTGTGATATATTCACATATTAGTTGGTGCAATTCAGTAACCATAATGACATTCCAGTGAAAAACTCCCTTGTGTTGTACAGAGCAGCACAAATCCCTATAAAAGTGCATGAAATATTTCACCAGTATATTTTACATTTTTGTAGCAAGAGAAAGGTGCACAAAACACCAGCACATTGTAGTTATTGTGCATTCAGAGGCACAAGTCATTTGAGGTTCAGTGCTACCTCAGGGGGAGCTCTAGATCCACTGTTCTAAGATTCTAAACAGCTTATGACAGGCTTTTAGTTTTTGATTTCCAGAATAGACGGGTTGTGGTCCAGAATAGATAAAATTATCTTGTCCATGTATTGCCTGAGTCGGAAGTTTATCTCCTCTTGTTCCTTGAGGGCTTCCATCAACTGTGGGAATCAAAACAAGTTTAGAGCAGTATAGGACTGGTTAATTGGACAGGTCTCCAAAATCTCCACAAAAAAAAAAGAAAGAAAGAAACGGAAAGTTTGCCAAAAATTTTATATTTTGAATAAGATTTGAGAACTACTGAGGAGGTCAGGATTAACACACACATAGAACTTTAATTTGGCCTGTTCCTCACACAAAGCTATTGGTGGTTTCAGAAAACCTTTGTCCCATTATGCTAATGAACATTTCGGAACACGTTCGATTTTATTTCTCCTTTTCTGTTCCTCAGAACATTAGTAGGGTTTCGTTCTTGTTTGTTTTTTCTCCTCCACTGGAATGGTATGAAGGCGAGTAAATCATTTTTGGGTGAACTATTCTTTAAGTACCTCACAAAATGAATTTATTTTGTTCACCTTTTCAGAGAACGTTCCAGGAAAAACAAACATGCTTCATACTGTTCTATTGCTTACTGGTACACATTAAAAGGTGTTTTTATTTACAGACTTCCACTAGTACTATCCAGTTTTATCAGTACATCATAGTCACGTACTCTTTGTTTAAAATATTCAAAACAAAGTCCTCTACTTCTCTTACCTGGTCACGGGAGGCATGATCAATCTCCATGGCCAGAGACTGCGCTTTTGTCTGTGTGGCAAACAGGTTTTTGGCCTCATGGAGGCTCAGACTGAGAAGCTGACCATTTAGATCTTCATTCTGTTCCCTCAGTTTCTGGTTCTCCTGTGATAGGAAAGAGGGAGGAGTTACAATTTACCCCCAAAAGATGATCCAGAAGTTATCCTGCTTTTCCTTTTCCTTATTGTGGCCTTGTTAACTGAACCAAGAGAGTTGGTAAAAGAAAGCAGTAAATGATTTGGTTTGAGATTATTGCATTATTATGCAATGACTCTAGATTAGAAAAAAATTATTAGATCTTCTTATAACAGACATATATACACAAGACAAAACACTACTAAATGTTTACTGCATTAGCTATATTACTTCATACCACAATTAGTTCCAGCCTCTAATTTGTTTGTTCAAGCGGTGCCGGTGTCCGAGTGCGCACATATTTAGTATAATAAGCAAAGAGTGATTTCACTATTTGTATCACTCCAAAGTATGTGAATGGATTTTTGCATGGGTGAGGAGTGTTTTTTTAAGGCTGAAGCATCAGTGGAGTGCAGGAAATGGAAAATTAGAGTGGTATAAAAACAGAAAGCTTTGAGAAACATGGCTCTAACTCTGCTGTGGGCAAGAGGTGATATTGATGATATTGAATATAATAGCACTTCGGTGGTATTGTGTAGTTATCCCCTTCTTTTGACAGGAACATGGAACTACAAAATCTACAACCTACAAAAAGTGTGGCTATATTAGATGTTAAGGGAGAAGGCATGTCAGCCTGGCAGATAATCTGAAAATAGACTCCTTGTGAATGAACACATTAGTGGTTAAGTAAATGATTTTAAGTCTGCACAGGAATTACAGTTTACCATCAGACTCGGACAGAGTCGTGCCCGAGCAGACACAAGCTGCTGGAGGTCAAAGGGCATGTCCTTGGAAAAGCTCCTCTGCATATACACAGAGTAAACAAGATCAAATAAGAAATAGATGATTAACAAAAGAGTTTATTTTGGTATCACTGTTTTCTGATGCTTTCTTTGCTTTTTTTAAACAAAAAGTGGAGACTGTGTCTGAATTATGTTTACAATTATGTTTACACTGTTCCAGTTATATCACATCCAATTCCAAGAGGTTAAAAGGTAATAACATTTATAAAGAAAGAAAATGTAGAAAGAAATGTATTTTTTTTTATATAGGCATAGTTTTGTGTGAAAATGGAAAATAATTAGCACTCATTCTGTTTCTCAAAGATCTGACAACACAGAACTATGTAGCCTTCACCAGAGGAAATACACCTGCTAAAAGATCAAGTTACCAGCTTTCCATCTCTCTCACCTGTTTTAGTCTCTTGACCTCCTGTTCCAACTCACTCTCACGTGTTCGAGTGCTGTATTCTGATAGGCTAATGGGAGATCTGCGGCCACTCCCCATTCTTTCTGCCTCCAGCTTGTATATTTGGAGGTGCTCCAGTTCTCGCCGAAGGTCCTCAATTAGCTGAACATAAATTAAACAGAAAAATCACTAAGCTACTGAACTGATAACATTACTATTTTATATTTGAAAGTCAAGTACATGAGTGCTGTATAGCCTTTAGGCAGAGTAAAACATAACGGTAGCTCTGGACTAAATTAATAAATTAATTTAAATATACTAGTGAATAGAATATGCTTCTTAGTCTTCTCTATGTTTGAGTAACTTCCTCTCAGTGTTTGACTTGTATGTGTGCATGTTTAGGCTATCTTCAGTTGTGGTTTTTAAGTACACAATCCATTTAAGCCTGAGGGCAACTAAAGCTGCCCAAGGCTCTGCCACTCTTTTCTATCTCTAAATATTTTTGGGTGACTACTGACTACATCTTAAAACAATTGACACACAAGTAGACAACCTTAGCTTTTGACAGTTTGCTGAATAATTTTACTGTTTCGCTGGCCTTTCTGAAATTTACTGTACATTTTTGCCCACTGGAAACTTTAGCACAGTCTTACCTCCTGCATAGTATTTCTTTCCCTCTGAAACTCATTTCTGTTCTGTCGTAGCTTGTCCATCATCTTCTTGTACAGATCCATCTCATCCTTCAACCGCAAGCTTGTATCCTCTAGCTTATCTGTCATACGCTGTCTCTCCTTTACATACACAAACAACATTTTTATGCATAGTCAATTATAGGTCATTTTTTATCTGTACAATCACTATTGGGTCATTTTTTGTGAACCAATATTTAAAAATAAGTTTGATGAAATAATATTTTATTAAAACAGATACCATCAAAGCCTTGATTTGTTTGTTTGTTTATTTATTACCTATGAACACTTCTAGTTCTATGGACATTTAGAAAACACTTTTCACATACTATACTACTTTCATAATCATATGTTCATGTTGTTCTTTTTTTCAGTTGTCAAACCTTTTCTGCAATCTCAGACTGGTCAAACTCAAACCAACATGCATATTTTTTATAGAATAATAAAAAATGCTTTTATAGAATTGTAAAGAATATATATATATATATATATATATATATATTTATATTCCCTTCTGAAAATGATAAGATACATGTAGCTTTCATCATTTTGAAAGAGTGAGAACTCCCAGATTGCTTTTCCAGACTAACAGGCGTGAGGAATTAATTTTGTTCTAAACATTTAAACAAACAGTGCCATTACAAGCATTAGCACATCCTCCTTTGCATCTCCTTCACCCTAAATCATAATGGTCAATTTACTCCATTTTCTCCTAAAAAAAAAAAAAAAAGTCAGTTTATGTATAATAAAAATATCTTACGTCATCCAGTTTCTCTGTCTGGGCTTTCAGTCTGATCATGCTTATTGCCATCTCTCCATTTTCCTCCTCTAGCTGGTGTACTCTGCCAGTGGGAAAAATTAAATAAAAACAAGCCATACATCATACTCTTGCAATAAGCCTCCACTGCTCTATAGCCCTGAGAATCAAAAATTCTAGATGAAGATTTCTGGATGAAATATCAGGGTCACTTTAATGGTTCAACTGTCACTCTTCTGTCTAAAACCCTTATGAAGGACACTCTGAGACTGCTTTATAAATAAAGTGCATTAATTACGGAGATAGAATTGTTGCTTAATTCCAAATAAATAGATTACGATCCACAAATAAATGTAAAGAGATTAACAAAAATTAAACATATTGACAAATAAATAGAATGAGATCCACAAATAAATCTTAAAAGTTTCACAAACATGAATTAAATTCACAAATAAATAAAATGAGATTTGCAAATAAAAAAACATTCACAAATATGTATTTGTCACAACCACAACTTTGCCTGGCATTTATTTGTGAATCGCGTCCTGTGCATTTGTAGATAGCTGCGCGCATTTGTGAATTGCGTCCTGTGCATTTGCGAATTGTGAAACATTTCTTGCACGTGCTGACAATCCACAAATACGTGGACTCCACCCAACGTCTACTCAAGCCAATCAGATAACAGCCACATTTCGCTGACCAATCGTAGCACGATCTCGCTATAGCCAATCACGTTTTGCTATACTATCAGGGTGGACTCGCCCTGAGATAACTTAATTCATCTGCATTGGCTCAAATAGATAATATAAGGGCCATAAAATGGGTACAGTAAAAGAAGTTTAAAATTGGATTTCCTTAGAACATTAGACTGTGTATCATGCCAACCAAGCCACAGTATTTTATGTTACGTGCCTTTGAAAAAGACAGAGAAACAGTGCGTGATGAAGTGTAGTAGGTTAGACTAGTGCGTGTGCGCATTTACACTGCTTTCTTTCACTGTATGATTCAGTTTATTAAAATACATTAGACTGTGTATCATGCCAACCAAGCCACAGTATTTTATGTTACGTGCCTTTGAAAATGCCAGAGAAGCAGTACGTGATGAAGTGTAGTTTAGAGTGCTTTCTTTCACTATGATTCAGTTTATTAAAATACACTTCGAATGATCACAAAATTCAAGATATGTTTTCTTTTCTCCAAAAATCAACATGATTTCAAATGTGATATTAAAATTATGTGATATTAATATACAGTTCAATAAACAAAAAGTTAATTAAGAGACTTAAGTTTTAGACACCATATTGCCTATTTCGACAACAAAAATAACTCCAAACAAAGCCATAGCACTGTTTTCCGTCTCTGAGCAACATGGCGGTGTTTCGTTTCTGAATGAATCAACCGTTTAAATGATTCGGTTCAATCGCAATGACTCACTTATTAACAGTGACTTGCTGCCACCTACTGGTGGTTTAAATTTCACATTTAAAGTATCTTTTCATTTTTTAAATAATTTCAAATGTCAGTATTCGACGTTTTTTGTTTAAAATATCAAAATATTTTCTATGCATTTGTAACTGCAGGTTAAAGCATCCCATGTCCCTCTGAGCTGCATTAATCAGTGTGACATCTAAATGCCACTCCAGATGCAGCTTCTGTGTTTCCTGAGCAACATGGCGGTGTTTCGTTTCTGAATGAATCAACCGTTTAAATGATTCGGTTCAATCGCAATGACTCACTTATTAACAGTGACTTGCTGCCACCTACTGGTGGTTTAAATTTCACATTTAAAGTATCTTTTCATTTTTTAAATAATTTCAAATGTCAGTATTCGACGTTTTTTTTTGTTTAAAATATCAAAACATTATCTATGCATTTGTAACTGCAGGTTAAAGCATCCTATGTCCCTCTGAGCTGCATTAAACAGTGTGACATCTAAATGCCACTTCTGATGCAGCTTCTTTCCTCTGCATTGCAAAGATTAATTTCGTTGATATTTATACCATTTGTTTGGTAACAGCCCAAATGTTTCATTATTCTAATTGACAAATTATATGCAAGAATTTGACTCAAAAAGATGATACACACTTTAAGAAAAAATGGCTTTATAAATGTAAAAATGCTTATAAAAGGTAATATATATATATAAGCGTATTGGTTAAGCTTATTGGTAGATTAATTTCTATCACTGCTGTGAACTGACCACCACAGAATATCAAAAACTTCATACATCGTTAGATCCACATAGCTGCTCATATACATCGGCATTACTGAAAAACTGGGAAATGCTGTTGGCTGTTGTGTGATGGCAATTTAACCTATTACACAAACAAATGTTTATTATGAAGTTGAGTTCAGTTATTTATTAGTCAGTTATTTACTGACGCTTTTATTTCCATATTGAATAACATGACACTTCTATATCACATTTGAATCCAGTAGCCATAGCGTTGTTCCCATAGCCGTGATTTAAAGCTCTGTTTCTCTGGCATTTTCAAAGGCACGTAAAATATAATACTGGCCCTTATATTATCTATTTGAGCCAATGCAGATTAATTAAGTTATCTCATGAGGAGTCCGCCCTGATTGTAAAGCAAAACGTGATTGGCTATAGCGAGATCGTGCTACGATTGGTCAGCGAAATGTGGCTGTTATCTGATTGTCTTGAGTAGATGGTGGGTGGAGTCCACGTATTTGTGGATCGTCAGCACGTCTTGACGCAAGAAATGTTTCACAATTCGCAAATGCACAGGACGCGATTCACAAATGCGTGCAGCTATCTACAAATGCACAGGACGCATTCACAACGCAAGAAATGTTTCACAATTCGCAAATGCACAGGACGCGATTCACGAATGTGTGCAGCTATCTACAAATACACAGGACGCGATTCACAAATAAATGCCAGGCAAAGTTGTGGTTGTGACAAATATATTTGTGAATATGTTTTTTATTTGCAAATCTCATTTTATTTATTTGGGAATTTAATTCATGTTTGTGAAACTTTAAGATTTATTTGTGGATCTCATTCTATTTATTTGTCAATATGTTTAATTTTTGTTAATCTCTTTACATTTATTTGTGGATCATAATCTATTTGGAATTAAGCAACAATTCTATCTCCGTAATTAATAAGGGAAGAGGGGGGAAAACAGTGGGACAATGGACAGTGTAAAACCTCAAAATAAAATTAAAACCATTATACTGCATGACAAAAATAATAGTATTATTAGTATTTTTGCCCTGTTTTCCAATATAAAAAAATTCTAAACATCGAAAATATACCAAGATAAACTAATTTAATTCTAATTCACATTTGTTTTCAAAACACAGAATTAAATTTATTTTTCTTAACCCACAGGCAAAGCTTTTTTCTTGTTTTAACCGTGTTTAGTTAGATTTATGAAAAATGATCTTGTTTTAAAAATGTGAGGATAATTTTCCTGGGAAACAAGAGAAAAACAAAATTGCAGTTCTGCTCTTGAGATGAGCCAACCTATTTGTGAGCAGCTCTATCTGTGTGTTTTTGTCTTTCTCCAGTCGGCTGTAGGCCTCTCTGTGTCTCCTGAGCTCCTCTTCCATCATGTTCTCCGCTCTGGTCTCCTGGTCTTTTAGCTGCTCCTCCAACTCGTGAATCCTGTTGAAGCACAGTCCTCATCATCATCATTAACATTTTGTCAGTCCTGCTGAGGCCCACTTTGACCTTTTAGCATTTAGCAAATGCAAAACTTTTGTTAAGACTATTTTCATGGAAGGTTTTGCTAGTGGAAAGAATCTGCTTTTTAAAGAGACAAGCATGCAAATACATATGCATATAACATAGTTCCAATGAAATGAACTTTGTCTGAAGAGTGGGTGGGTGGACTTTGAGTAGCAATTTACCTGTGAACCAACTGTATGTTTTCCTGTTTCAGCTTCGACTTCACATCCCCGTTCATCAGAATCTCATTTTCGAGCTCTGTCACTTTCTTGTCCAAGTAACTCACCTGTAACAAAGTTAGAATATATGCAAATATTACTATCACTCACAGAACAGCTCTGAATTAGTAGTAGTTTCTGAACCAGTTTAGTCTGAATGACTGTCAGCACTGAAACATAACCCTTGATCTGCACATCCAAAAAAAAAAGAAAAAGTTTTGCAACAACAGTGCAGATTAAGAGTTTGAAAAGTGTTTATGCGTATAAACATATAGTGATCCTGATTCCAAAAAAAAAAATAAAAAAAATAATAAAATAAAATAAAAACAGATTGTTGTTTTTTCATCTGTAAGCACTTTTGGCCCTGTGGAATTTAGAAAATAAACATACTTTTCACACAATAACTTGTTTACTTAATGTGTATGCTAACAAGGTCCAACAGTGGATATGTATCGAAGGTGAATTTTGTAATTTTTATGAAACATCATAATCCATGATTTCCACCACAACACTACTTCCATCGTATCTTGAATTATGTACTTATGTTTGTGTATTGTATTGTATTTTGTGGTGAAAATGACATTTAATGTAATATTTGTGGTGTTAGTTGACTCCTTTTTAAGGCAAAATTATATATACTGTGTGTGTGTGTGTGTATATATATATATATATATATATATATATATATAATATATATATCTCACAACTTCATATAACATTTATTTAACCACAGGAGGTGCTCACAGTCAAAGCAGAGAGGGAGTTGGAAACAAACACCGTAATGATTAACAGCAGCATAGACTACACAAACAAACACAGAGCATAACATATTGAGTGACCTACCTTCCAAATGCAGTGCTGGAGATCTTTCTGTTTGGGCTGGAAAACAAACAAAGGACAGCTAATTAGAACTTCAACATATGGTGTAACTGGTGTAAATCCCTCTTCTTTTTCAACAATTGTTCATTAAAACATTATATAGGCTATTTACTGTATATATAAGGGTTGGTTTACATATAATGTTGAACTTATAATAACTTGGATAACAGAACTGAATGTTTAGCTTTGATAAATGCATTGGATGCTACACTTGTATAAAAATGAATAAAATTGTTATTGATTGTTAAACATTACATTCTTGATGAAAAATTGTTAAGAAAAAATAATAAAAAACAATAGATTTGTAAAACATTTAACTGAATAGCAGTTCAAATTATTATATGATTTTAGTCAAGATGTTCAAGTGCTCTGATGTGGAGCAGATCAAAATCACCTAATTATAGGGGTGATACAGACATGCTAGTTAATTATATGTTAGATAATAATTCTCTAAACAAAAACATGAGATTTGTGTGTCTGATGCTTTTAAAAAAAAGTAATGGGACACCAAATTGTACCTTTTTTTAGTGGAAAGTTCCAGAGGTATCATTCTATTTTTGGACATTTCATTAATATGCACTTAACCCAGACTCACTCGAAATATATTTGAATATAGTGTTGGCCCTGACACGAACCTCAGTTCACATACCTTCAACCTTAACAAAGCTCACAAAATGTCTTTGAATAGAGTTTGTTACATAGCTCAGATATACAACTGCTACTTGAGTAAAAGTTGCAGTGGAGAAGATATCAACACAACAAGAGCAGAAAGCATGTGAATGTTGATGGTTTCCTTTCTAAGACTGTTCAAGCTCTCCACTCAAAATTCAAATATTAATCATGTTTATGGGAAAACACATACTACACAGTTTCATACACAAAACTCTCTCCTGCTCTCTCTCACACACACAGAGTTATTACCGACATAGCTTTTCTAGCAGTGACAGAATGAGGTGTGAACTAATGTATTTCTTGAAGGAGCCTCCTCTCTATCTCATAGCCCATCCTGTCTTTTTTTCTTTCTTTCCCTTCTATAGTATGGCACTCTCTTCCCCAAAATCCCTCGGTCTATCTGATCCAGTTCCTATTTCATCCTCTGTTTTGAGAGGCTAAGATATGAGAATCTAATTACAAGCCCTCTCAAAAGAAAAAAAAAGTTAAAGCAAACTCACATGAAATCTTGGAAATTGTCAAGGATGAAGAAAAGACAAGAAAAGCATCCAAAGCCTCAGAAGGGTTTGCCTGTTGTTCATGTGTTGTTTCATGTGGATGTGAGTGAGAGTGATACAAAGACAAAGAGAGACGGCAAAATACACAATGCGCAGAGTCAAATAAATGTGTGGATGTGTGTGTAGCTCACTTCCCAATGCCTAATAAAGCTCTAATGGGCTCTAAAGTGGTGGGCTGAATGATGTATGGAAAAGGAAGTGAATCATTAATGGTGCAGAGAGACTGCAGCAAGATATCAAAGCTCCTCCACCTCAGTTGTGTTCTTCTCATATACTCACATTAACTCCTCTGCCTCTATTACACTGTTGCTTTAATTTAGTCTATTGTAGCCCACAGGAAGACAATGTAGAACTGATAAACACTAATCCTCTTAAAGCGCCTCTAATGTGGATTCCAAGCCACTAAAAGTTTATTTCCCAGATGTGAGGGGACACTCCTTTTACATTACTGAAGAGAAACTAGACAAGTCAATAATCACTTAACTCTTATTTCAAAGGTTTATCTCTAACAAGTCTTCTTGAAGAGGAGCTTACACCCAGTTTATGACAAAGCCCTCTGGGTGAAAAAGTACTTTATAACTTTATCTTTCATAACAGATGCAAACTGTAGTCTATGCAGTACCTGTTGGTTTTGAGGTTTTTGAGCCTGTTCTCCAGGTCTTTGAGCAGACTGACCCGCTTACAACACTGAGAGCAAAACACATCCATCTGGTCACCAGCATGGCGCATCTTCCGAGGAGTCTGACCAGCACTGGAGGAAACGGGGAGAGCGAGAGAGAGACAGAGACAAGGTCAAACACATTTATGGCACATCATGTGTGCATTCTGAAAACATTCAATAAACAATATAAGCAGAATGTAGAAAAAAATACTATATAATAGTGAAAACTAAGAAAGCCAAAAATAAAAAGTGAGAATCTCTAGTAAGCCAAGTCTGATAAAAAATCTCCCCAACAGAAGCGTCATACCTATTCAAACATGCCTCAACAGTTATAGATTATATATGCAACTTCCAAAGAAAAATATTTGGATAGAGAAGACTATGGAATGGTGGTAACACTTAGTTGTAACACCATCAGTTTGAGCACTTAGAAATTAGGATGCAACTATTATGATACATGACCACCATCCTTTGAGGTGGTAGTAGATTGTGTACAAATATAAAGCATTTATATGCATAAAAAAATATTTTGGCCTAGAAAAAACAACGACATTTCACTTCACTGGAATATAATATGATTTGCAATCAGATATGCACATTAGATGACAGAACATGTATCATATGAAGCAAATTATGTTGTTTAATATGATATACTACAAATCAACATCTACCTGTTAAAAAAGACATATAATGGCATAGCAATATTTTACATTCTTAAATTATAATAAAGAAAATAGAAGGTGGTGGTTTTGGGGTACAGGTAAACATGTTTAAAACAAGTAAACTTGATTAACGAAATAAATGCACAAAAAGTGTTTTCTACTCTGTGTTTAAATAAAAATCCAGCAAATCCAGCCTTTTGGACAGTAGGGACTAGACAGGTAAACATGTTTAAAACAAGTAAACTTGATTAACGAAATAAATGCACAAAAATGCACAAAAAGTGTTTTCTACTCTGTGTTTAAATAAAAATCCAGCAAATCCAGCCTTTTGGACAGTAGGGACTAAAAAGAAACCATAACAGTTTCCCCACAGTCAGACAGTTCCATCCACTAATACAGTCACTAATATATATATGCTGAAAGAAATCTTGTGTAATGAAGGCAGATATCTGGATTTCTAAACGAATCATCCTTTCATTTTAAAGTAAATCCCTTTGAAAACAGGCTTTGGGGCAGTCAGAGGGAAAGACAGTACTGTTGTGGTTACATGTAAAGAAATAAAAATAATTAATGAATAATTAAAAAACCTTAGGAATACAGACACACACAAACACACACCTGGAGGAAACAGAAGAGCCCAGATCTGAACATCCATTAATGCGGATCTCATCATCTGGACAGGGGCTGCTGGGATTGTAATCTCCATCCTCTCCTTCACCATAGTCCTCAAATTGCTCCTCATTTACTGAGGCAGATGAACGTGTAGAATGATCAGAAGTCTCCGAGCGATTATACATCTGACCACACCTTGAGGAATGAGACAGGAAATGGAAATGAGAAAAGCATTTATTTTGACTTAGTTTTTTGACTTAATATCAATGAAAGTAATAATTACTCAATTCATTAATTCATTTGCAAATCCGTAAATTCGGCCTTATGTACACAAGAAAACATTATAAAAGCACTCACTTTTCACCTGGGAGGCAAAGCCCAATCCCTTCCTCTTTTTCTCCAGTTCTCCCTCCATCCGATATCTCTGACGACAGAGTGCTGTTTACTGCACTGTCTCTGTCCGACTCTCTCTCCACCCCTCTGCCTTCCTCACCCTCCTCATCCTCAAGCATTGGACTCTCTGGGCACTCCTGGATGGACATTTTAACTAGTAGCCCGACCTGTCCTCACTGTACTGTCAAAAGCAAAAGACATTAAACTTTTAGAACAGTCACACAACTCCCAACCTGTGTTACATAAGGATAGAAACAATTATGAAAATATGAACGCATGGATGTCTGACACGGATACAATCTCTGGGAGTGACAACTGCATTTCTCTATGATAACCACAGCCATATTTCGGTGCCTCACAAGCTGTGAATATGGATCTCAACAGTTCACCCATTTGATATGTTAGTAATATTAGTGACTGAACACAATTTAGGGTCACAACAAAGAAAAGAAAAAATCTAGTGTAAAATATGTAGATATTCTTTGTATTCATATTGGTTTTATACTGTTTTGAAAAATGTTTATACCATTTATACCATATAAATGTATCTAAACCTGCATGAGGTATAACCATCAAGGAAAAATCATCATCATTATATTCCAAAACGTTTTAAATGTATTATTCATGGTTATCACAAATTATGTATTTACAGATATAATTATGTTTCAGAAACGTATTGACCTTGATACAGTCATGTGGTTAATAAGTCAGGGGTCTCATCTAAATCAATTTTATGTTGATGTTGTTTTAATGTTTTGGACCACATGACTTTGACTTGGTTTTGTACAATTTTTATAAAAAAATAAAAGAATATGCCGTACATTATGTTTTTTTTTCTACAATGTCATTCTTTTAATGAGGCTTTTTTATTCATTGTGTTAAAGTTGTATCACCCTGAAACTGAATGACAAATAAAGAAAATAGAAGAAAGAAACAGAAGCAAGGAAACTGTCTTGTATGTCTTGGCATGGAAAACACAGAAGGAAATGATGAAGGAATCTTTAACATGACAGACCTACAACAAAAACAAAAGGCACCAATGTTCCTTTTTTAGAAGGAACAAAAACACAACGTGCCCAAACTATGGTTTTGTCAATAGCAGAAACTCACTGCCAAGACCAGGTTTACTTCCCAAATGCATACTCAGATTCGAACGGTGCATTTAATGCATCAGCAAAAAATTTATATTTATAAACGTACTATTTCTGTGTACTGCTATATGTATCTGTATATATGTACAGTGTAGATTGTGCCTGGCTGGTTTTCAAGGTTTTCAAACATACAGCTGGTCTTCCCAATTTTTAATAAATAACGCACTGCTTCTGTGGTTTACCAAACTGGCTCTACAACTAACAGTCACTTTTGTAAGCTGAGCACACAGCAGGTGGGTGTGCGTGTGTGAGAGAAAAAAAGAGCTCTTTAGTATTCTGTTGTGCTGAACATGAGGGGGCAGGGATACAAAATGCCAGTGTGTGGTCAGGCTGCTTGAACAGTGAGTGGTCCTACATACACAGAAGCAGTGAGCATGCACACACACACAAACACAAAAAGCGCTTTTTCTCAAATGCAAAACAACCACACACTTTTCTCAAATTTTGTGTCATAGGACAAAATCAAAACAGGTCATAAAATGTAGGTAATTATGTGCCCTTGTATTTGTGAATAGATCTCCTCCTCCACAATATGATCATTGACTGTCTCATAACAGCAGGGTATGAGTATGTGTACCTACTGTATGTTTGAGCACCTGATTATAAATGCACACAACTCGCCGCAACTTGAAACATGACATTCAAAGCCCTGCAGGAAGTTCTTCCATTGTAAATGCTAGAAAGTGATCTGTACATGCACACACTGAATGCTTTATTATGCATGTGTGAAACGCCCAAAAGGCAATCGCATTTCACAGTGCAGTGCCCCTTTAAAATAATATTACATAATGGTCTCCAAAATAATTTTAACATTCAGAAAAAAGGTGTATTTTTCAGATGTTGAGAACACTTGTCAGTTGCAGGCATTATGTAATTACTTACAATATGCCATACATGAAACTGAAAAGGCATGCTGTGTGAAAATACTTTCTTTGTGAACCTCAGAGACCTGACATGACTGTACAAAAAAAAAAACAATTGTGTTTGTTATGACGTAGATTTATGATGTGCACTCCAACATGAAGAACATATACTTTCTACTGTATGGTTAGACATATTTTATGTTCTCATCTCATGATTTTCCCAGCTGTCATTGAGTATAATATCTAAAGCTATTTTCAGCACAAACACAATGTTAAGTATTGAGAAACTGTGAAGTAGCAATGACTTATTGTCTAGTCAAAGACGTGTGAGTCTTCCACCAGTGCACTTAGACCGATGCATTAAGAAGTCACAAACATACCACCCACCAAATAATACTTTAATGGGGTTCAGTAAACAGCTTCAAGGCCACTGTCGGCAGCTGTTTCATGAATACAGTAAGCAAAACTAAAAGGGGCCTAACCAACCATTTGAACATGTACAGTTAGCAATAGCATGATCTAATTTAGACAGAAAGCAAGAGGTGCACCAATTATTAAATGACTCGAAACCAGCTGAAGTGAAAAGGAAAAAAAAAATAATAACTTCTCACTGGATTCAAACAGAATACAATGACAAACCTCTCCACCTCTTACATCATTCTTAGAGAAGTCTCTGTTTCATGCAGGGTGAAACACTGCTCCCAAAACAACAACCTGGTTTAGTCAGGTAATTGCATGAACTGCAAAAACAGAAGTTAGAAAGGTAAACTCATGCAATATCACTAAGGAGAAAATATAAAAACATAATCCTTCCCCAAGGCAGAATGGGTGCAGCTAAAGACAACTACAGAACCAACAGTGTACATTAGGGTCTCATAGACCCTTTTGGAATGTGACGTCTCATATCCGCCCTTGAACCTTAGAGCCCACGAGCCCTGTTCTCATTTCCATCTTATTAACAGCTTATCATCATAAGCTCCATTTAACTGCTCACTGCCTAGAGAATTCATAGCAATCCTCAACAGGCCTCTTTACTAACTTGAATTAAATGCAAGTTAAATGTGCAACATCTCTACCCATATAGTGCATACACTCTTCAAACTATGAGGTTTTCAAATAAGTGCTCAATAACACAAATCCTTGTTGAAAAAAATGCTCTTAAGATTTGCCATTATAATAACTTCCCTGGATTAATTGGACATGAGATAACTCAATTATCGAAGGTATTAGTTAATACATCTTTACATTTCAAGTTGACTAAACTTTTTTTGTGAATTGTATGCTTAAAAAATTCCAATATGACAATTTGTTTGCATTATTGTAGCTGGAAGTAAATTTTAAGTTAACTCAATAAAACCACACTAGCATTTATTTAGGCAAGGGTCAACTATATAATGAAGGTTTTCCATGAAGATTTTTACCTGATAGATAGAATGGTTCTCAATGCAAGGTGATTTCTCATAAATGTCAGGTTGGGGGACAGGTTGTCACAGGCATTGTAAATGTTTGATTTTTTCATATATATATATATTTTAAATTTCTGCTGTTTCATGAATTGGTTTATAATTGTTTTAATGCAATAAATAATATATAAAATAAATAAGCTTTATAATGGATTATTTAATGACAGGTTCCACTGTAACTTAATCCATGTCTTTTTCCTGAGCAGAAAAGGTGAATATATTCAATAGCTTTCTTGTATCCAAAGAATTAAGGTATCTCCCAATACAGAAATTCAAAATTTAAAAAATTCTGAAATTTAAACATTCACCTGCAAATATTCACAGGAGTAAAAAGTAAGCCTAATCCTGGATGCAAAAACTGAATGCACTACTTTTTGATCCTAACAAACCAAACTGATATTAACCATACTTTACATGTAACTTTTTGTTTCAAAAAGTTGTCTTTTTTTAAATAAATAAAGGAATAAAAGAAGCCTTTTTCAGAATCATAACAGATTCTGCACTCTGTACAAAACCTGACTGTTCCATTAGGCCAAAAGCAGGCTCAGGTGTTTTTGTCACATGAAGAGCAGTTATTATGCTGAGGGATTTCGATGGAATGCTCTTATTTGTCAGCTGTAAGCCCAGAAACTCTTTGGACAATACTATGCGACCTATGGGGGGTAGCATGATGTCACAGCTAAACTAGCTGCACTACATCTTAAAGATAATTCTTATACAAGTCATTTCTTATCTATGATTAAAATATCTATTACACTGGGGAAAGTCAAAGTCCTTTTTATATAGACAATTATTATATTTTTTATAGGTTTAAGCAAAACTGGTCAGAGATTGTGATTAGAAAAAGGGGAAAATAGTGAGACACAGTATATTCTATTGAGAATATTCAGACCACTGATTCAGGGCCTGTTCAGCTAATTGTGAAATCATTTTAGGAGACAGGGAGAGGATTCCCAAGAGGCATTTGCACATTGTTCCATTAGGCCAAAATATATGCGGCAATATTAGACACTAATATTGCCGCATAAGCAGGCGAGCTGAGATCATGTGTTAGAATTTACTGCCATGTAAAATCTAGTGTCTAATATTGCCGCATATACATCTTGACCCATCTCATGGTATTTTCTTATATACTCAAAATCTGGAATCAGCACAGATTTAGAACAGAAGTGATGAGTGTATTTTCCATGTTTATAATGATTTATAATGATTACAGTATAATGTATCATACTGATTCATATTTCTCACTCAGCTGAGGAGACAGTTTCACTCCCACACACACCCAGGAAAAAACTAAAAGATCCGTCAGGGCCGAGCTGATGCACAGGAACCAATGAGTCACCATCCTGAGATGCACTGCAATTTTTGCAATCCAAAAAAAACACAACGTGCCCAAACTATGGTTTTGTCAATAGCAGAAACTCCCTGCCAAGACCAGGTTTACTTCCCAAATGCATAATTCTCAGATTCAAACGGTGCATTTAATGCATCAGCAAAAAATTTGTATTTATAAACATACTATTTCTGTGTACTGCTATATGCATCTGTATATATGTACAGTGTAGATTGTGCCTGGCTGGTTTTCAAGGTTTTCAAACATACAGCTGGTCTTTGTTTAGACTCTGCTGTGCAGCTTGTAAAGTGCATCGAAACCTGCACTGTGCTAAAAGTGGTAACTCAAGCCCCTCGGTTTTGTGTGAGAGATATCTTGATACAGAGATACAGAAAACACTTGAGGGGATTTCAAGAGTACTTCTAACAACACAGTTGCCAAAAAATATTCAACATATTGAATAAACGTTGTAGGAGTTCTAAATATCAAATTATTCCAGTTTTTTTATAATAAAAAGTCACAATTGACTAGTGGTCAAAATATCAATTCTGACAGATTTTCAGAGATTTTTATGCAGGTTGGTGTGTGAATATTTTACACAATACATTAAGTGTGTGGAAAGTCAAGTGGGCAATTAAATTCAAGTATGCCCTTGTCCTGTTGTGTCTATATTTAGCAGACTCAAACTAACTGAGACAGCAGAGAGAAAGAAAAAGAAAAACTGTTTGCAAGGGTGAGGGACAGGTGATATAACAAATGTCAGCAAGATGATAGATAGGGACAGCAGGGCTGCCACACTTACTGTCTCAAACACATTTACATACTTCCATTAACAATTTAACTTTAAAATATGAAGTTACGCATTTAAAAAATCCAATATTTAAGTTAACTAAAATCTGTGTAATGGTGATCTTTCTCCAAAGTCTACTATCAGCAGCAGTTTTACAGCGTATTTAATTTGTGATAAACTAGACAATTACAATTCTAAGGAAATTCTGTGTTCGTAGGTTTCAATTACGGACCAGATATTTAAGCAACTGACATCCATATTCAAAACACTCACCTAGAATACATTTTACATGACCAATCATGGCTAAAGCTGGTCTAATTACCTGATGAGGTGCTTTCTATGTGTTCCAGGAACACGATTATTTTCAATTACATGATTAAGACCTACATTTGTTAGACCAGACTGTGAGAATACAGTCAGTATATTCAACTTCATAACAGTCTAGCTTCTACCAGGTTTTAATGCCATTCTAATATCAATCACTCTCATGAGACCTTCCGCATACATCATATGCAATAATAACTTTTTTTAAAAGGAAATTTTTGTTTTGCAAAAAAGACAATAAAGTGTCAAGGCCAGAAACAACTGCGATACATACTTTGACCTACATATTGATTATGTCTGCTGCTACTATCAATTACTTTTAGGTTTATGCACGCACAAGTTGCCAGCTGCCCTCAATTAACAATTAATCTCATTAACAACTGACTGCAGGGCAATCAGACAGTTTAACTCACTGAGAGAGAGACAGGTACGACAGAGAACAAAAAAAGATAGTCTAGGTATGTTAGTGGTAGTAAAAAATGCCAGACATGGGGGAAAACAGATGAAACAGAATGTGAGAAGTAACAAAAATGAGAAGGGCACAAGTAAATGTAATCCACGAGTGAGCAACACAAACATGAAAACATTGACATAAATTCCTTATGTCCTATCCTCCTTCTGTCGAACACAATATAAAGAGCTCCTCTTACTCTGTCTCTCACAGCCGAGTGACCATGATCTCTTCCACTCCTCACAGTCCACTTCTTCTACTATCCACTGTAGTCATCCAACTCAAATCCAAACAGGTGAGGCCTCATCCACTGGTAAGCTTCTGTTCAAAAGTCCTTAACTACCGTAATCCACAGCCAAGGAAAATAGAGAGAATCCTTATGCTGACTATTTTCATATGCTTACTTCTTGAATGAATCTAACAGTTTCTGAAACTTGTGCAAACACTACATGATTCAGGCTTGCTTGACCACACACATCCTCCCTCTACACACTTACAGAAGCTCTGACAGCAGTTGCTGGTTTCCAGCCACTCCTACTCTCCCCTTCTCAATCTCTATGGCTGTTGTCAGGCATCCGGCTTCAGGGGAGGTCCTGTGGGTGGAGCTAAAAAAGCTGCACACTGGCTCCTGTCTAAAGCATTTGCATATGCAGGTACACCTAGTCGCTGTGGCAACAACAAGTGCGTTAGTTTGAAGGCTGAGAGGCTTAGGGTACGGTGGCCGAGAGAGCTCAACGCACTGCAACTTAAGAAAAAACATGCAAATTGAAAAAACACCAGCAAATTAAGAAAACATCTTCATCAGTTTGTTTCTGGTGTTTTTTCAATTTGCATGTGTTTTCTTAAGTTACAGCGTGTTGAGCTCTCTCGGCCACCGTATTAGGGACTTGAAACATTGCAAAAACTCAATTCAAGTTAAACATTTTTAGATCCAGTTGGGGGGGAAAAATCTAAACATATGAAAAGAAAACTTTCAAAGGATTTGTATCACCAGAAATAGCACAAAAGGGGAAGTTGGAAGAGATGATATTAATTGCAACACATCACACACAAAAGTACCAAACTTCACAATCTCACTTCCTTCCTTACAAGACCAGTTTGTATTATGTGTTTGCGCATATGATTCATTGTGAAACTGGATTTGTGGTTGTATTGCACTATTGCAGACTTGGAAACATGTCTTCTCTCAAAAAAAGCCCTCTTACTTCTGCAACCATCTCTCAGAGTGAAACTCATTCTTACTGCTGTTGCATCTGCTCTGAAATCTAATTGTGAAAAACAAATTAGATGGACAAGAGCAGTAAATGCTCATTTATTTCAGTGAACTATCCTGTTACCTCCCACCCTGATCATTCTAACAAATGACCCGTGACTTCTAAAGCCCTGTGTCTATGAGATCCCAGCAGCATAATCCCTGAAGACATTCACAAAACCCAGCTTAATGAAATAACATACACCTGCTGCTCCATACTAGACAAACTGAGCCATGTGCTGACTCAGTACTCGCCCCAGTTCTTCCCTTTCTTTTTGTCTTCTGACCTGTTTTATTCTCACAATCCCTGTATGTCTCCTCATATCAAGTTTTCTCACTGTCTGTTTTGCATTAGCTTGGGTAAATGTTCTTCATCCACACCTGTCTCCCGTTTCTCACTTCACGTCACATTAATACAAGTAACCCCAAACCACACAAAACCACATCCAGCTCTTTTAGCCAAACCTCTTGAGGGAAGTACAAAACAAAAACACCAGTACGTTTACAGCTCTTATTCTTCCTGGTATCTCATTTGGACAGCGGTATCATGTTTCTCCTGGTATTTGGAGGAATAAAAAATGGATGGTGTCAATTTTCTCTCCCTCTGACCTCTGATTTTATCTACCATATTTTAGCTTCTTGATAAGAAAAAAGATGTAGAGACATTGGAGAATAATTGAGAAAAGGGACAGGGAGAGATTGGGCTCTTTGGGGGGGGCGGTGAATGAAAGCTAATTATCTGGAAAGGAATGTTTTCTCATGGGCTCTCAGAATGAGTTTGGCCACGTCAACCAATGGCTGCAGGCTATTTGTTTAAATGCAGTTAGTTAAAGGTTTGTGCCCCTTTCCTTGTAAAGGCTATCGGTGATTCTATTCAGACTCTGCAGTCCAGAGTATAATTCGCATGGACAGACTGAATAAAAGCCTTCAAATGACTTTAGAATACATTTCCCATTTTTAATCAAAGTGTGGAGTTTGAGTTAATGTGTGAGCTCGAAATATATTACAGCCCACTGTGAAATAAAAGTTTTAAATAAGTAGACAGCCTAGGCAGAGTGTGTGTAAGGCTGGGTCGGAAATTCAATGAGAAGGTGCTTGCTGCACAGCCAAAGGTTGGAGCTTGGCGTCCAGCTCACTCTCTCTGATGTAAATGGTGGAGCTTGTAGGTCCAACCACACCCAACCATAACCCTATCCCTAAACATAACTAGGCCAAGCTCCACCCATCAGGTCCACAGAGGTGGACCTGGACTAGGTCATTTGGCTCTGCAGTGAGACAATTAAATTAAATCTATTACAGCTGAATAAAGTGAAAATAAAAATAAAAATGTGGATAGCATCAAATTCCTGAAATGTAGATTGCATCAAATTCATCATATTTCTTTTCACTAATTTTTACAGCGTTGCGCATTATAACTAATCGCTCACAACAGAGTGGTGTATGATGCCAGAACAATTTACCACTGGTTCCTTCAAGATTTTCTATGGGGTTTTATAATGGCATTTTCAGTTTCTGAGTAATATAAAGCCTGTGGTGAATATAACTTGATGATACTTTGAATTTTTTTCTACAATGTAAACTGCACCCAAACCGCCAATATGCCCCAAACCGAAAACGTGAAGTAGTTATGTTTATTTTTGAAAATGTATGTTTCTTATAAGTAAATTGATAAGAAAGTTTGGGATGTCAGTTGTCGCACAGATTTGTCGTGAAAGCTTCTCTGTAAGATACTTCTCTATGCTTCATACAACGCTACAGTATTTAAAATACTATCTCAGTATTCTAAAAAGATTCAGACTCTAAAAAAGACTGAAAGGGGAACTCTCTAAAAAACATAGATGAAAGAAAAGAATAGAGACAGAAGAGGTGATGGAATAACCTGTTAAACAAATTGTATTTAGTCAGAGTGTCAATAGTTTTTAGCAGCAGATAGGCCTACAGAACTGTAGGTGTTTGGCCAATGGATTTGCATGCATAGTAATGGGGACAGAATATATAAACAAAGTCCTTCCCCCAGCATAGGTAATGATTATCAGAGGATGTCATTCATACACCTAGATAATACTAAAGCTAAAAAAGACATGTGCAAACATGCCCACAGAGAAATCAGAATCAGAATCATACCTTTATTGCCAGGTATGTTTACACATACGAGGAATTTGTTTTCGTGACAGAAGCTTCCACAGTGTAACAGAATGACAGTGACAGAACAAAAAAAAACACAGATAATAAAAAATAAAAATAAATAAAAAATAGAATAAGGAATAAAAATATACAAATCGACAATTGTATGTACAGGTATATAACAATAGACAGTTGTATGTACAGGTACATAACAATAGACAGTTGTATGTTCAGGTATATTATGTGCAAATTGAAATGTAGACTAAGTATGTGTGTTAGATAAATAAGTGTATGAGTGAATAAATAAACTATGAACATACAGGATTGTTTATTTAAGACCAAGCATGTTCACACAAACCTTGGTAAAATGGCAGTCAAACCAAAGATGTCAGTTTATAACCCAATCTATTTGCCATGCTTGAAATCTGTTGATGAAGAAACATCTAATAACCATATATAATGCTTTTCAGGACTGTGCCAATAACACAGCTTCACAGCGTATCCAGCCAGAAAACTGTCATCACTGGCAAATTGCTGAGGTCATCAGATTGGTCTACGTCTTTTGATTTTGAAGACTCTCTCCTGCCTGCATGCAGACCCCCTGCAGTTTACAAGTGCAAGTCATTTTGAATTCCAGCAGATTTACCCCCATGAACGAATATTCTTCACATGGGGTCTACACAAAAGAAAAGATAAGGCCTCAGCCGTTCCTAGTACCTCTGCATTCTCAGCATTCTTAAACCAAAGCTAAGTAATATTAAATTGAATTACAATTAATGAGTTCTATAAATATAGTTCAATAAAGCTGCTTTGTTCAAAAAGAATTTTATCCTCAGCTTGACAATCGTGGTGTGTGGTAGATGATTGATAAGCCTTCCACTCCAGTTTTTATAACATAGACTTAAGAGTTATGGAAAAGCTTGCAGAAATCAGTTGCTTGTAGAAAAATCCCCTCAGCACAAAAGCAGCTACATAGTCACAGGAAAGAAAAAAGGAATCAGGTATGCAGAAAGTCAGGTTAGGCAAAAAGCAGAAAGCACAAATGTGGAACACTTCCTAAACATGTCTCTTAAACTTACTGATGGCTGTGAATTTGTAAAAACTTCAATGTTTAACTCTTTCTAGGTCACCGTAATGATTAGGAGATCAGGTTAGTATGTGCTAAAGTAGGCAACTAGGTTAGCATGCTTTGAAAAAAAATGTTAAGGAAAGAAATGATTGTTCTGTTCATATTTATCAAGCTTTGATGAGAAGTAACCTCTAGATTAGAATGAAATGATTTGATAAATGTCACACTAAGTTATTATTCAACTGTCAACAGCTGCAATATACAAACTCAGTCTTACTTTAAAAAAAGTATATCTCTCTATGTCTGATGGCTGTGAATTCGTAAAAACCTAAATGTTTATATATATAGTGCTGTTAAAATTTTACCACAGTAAGGTTTACAGGGCACAGCCTGTGCCTGTGATGCCTTAAAATGCTTCCTAGGTCGTCAGTTCTCTAGGTTTTTGGAACAGATAGTAGTGGTAGAGAAGAAGTCTCACTTTGAGTCAATAAATGCAAAGACCAGAGAACATATCACAGCTGTACGGAACATACAAACATACATTCTCTAAAGAACACCTCACCTGTGCAACACATGCTGTAATTGTTGAGAAAACACAATCATTGTCGAAAGCATAAAAAGTCCTCCTTCCTGATTGTAAAGTGTAACATTTAAGGGATTGTTGTTCACCCAGAAATGAAAATTCTGTCATTATTTACTCACCCTCAAGTCGATACAAACCTGTATGAGTTTCTTTCTTCTGTTGAACACAAAAGAAGATATTTTTAATAATGTTGATACTCAAACAGTTGCCTCTGACTTTTTCATGCAAATTATTTGTGTAGTTAGGGCTAGTTTAGTTATTCATAATTTTAATAACAACTTCAAAGAATTTAAAAAGATATTTAATATTTATCGAACTTTACGTTAAAGGTGACATATCATGAAAATCTGACTTTTCCAGGTTTTAAGTGCTATAATCAGGTCCCCGGTGCATCTACCAACCAAAGAAAAAGATTAACCCAGTAACTTTGTTTTGGTAAGCCTTTTTCTGCAAGCAAAAACGAGCGCGTCTGATTTCGCTCCCTTGGTGACGTGGCAAAGG